AGTTGCTGTCGAACTCAGTGCGCGACTGATCACGGAACTTCTCCAAGACCTGAGGAGCGGAGACTCCATCGGCGGTCACGGTCACGGTCTGGCGGCCACGGTGCCACGCGGCCACGGTGGCCCACCGGTTCCCATCTGAGTGTGCGACCCGAATTTTCAAGAAGCGCAGTTTGATGCCCGGTTTTTGGACCTCAAGGGGTTGAAATCGCTTGAAATACTGCCCCCCGCAGTTGGAGGCATTCTCTTCAGCTGTTTGACCAGCGTCTCTATCTTCTCTCACTCTGCAGGCAGAACTGCTGAACGGCTGTGGCAAGAGTTGTCGCTGAGAGTTTCTGCCGAAGCTCCCATGGCAGAGAGATGATGCACATGAGGATCCAAGAACAGCACCTTTGCTGAGAGTGGCTTCGTGGAAGTGATTCGTGCTTCCCGGAAGTACTTCGCTGCTTGGGTTTGAGCAAATTTGTAAATCCTCTGAACTTGGTCAAGTGGCCATATCACCACTCAGAATACTGGGCAAGTCTGTGAAGTTGTACACCTCTCAACATGAGTCACAGTTTGGACTCAGAGAATCAAAGAAAGACCCAGCACAAGGGTCAAAGCAAGCAACAGAATTGCCAGTTGGACGAAGCGGCTGAGTTAAAGCCAAGTCCAAAGCGACCAATTTTCCTGCAATCGGGACCGATCGGTATGTGAATGGAAGCCAAGGAAGGATCGGTCTAAGTGGAATCGCTGACTCCCCGAAATGCAGCGGAGTAAAGACATCCAAGTGATCGACCGACCAAACGACGGAAGTGATGCGCCAACCGCTGCGACCGACCAAAAAAAGCGAACAAAGAAACATCCCAGGCCTTTGCTGGTCACGCTTCCCACCAACACCAAGTCGGCAGATGCTGTCAAAATCCTTGCTGGAAAACTGCGCGTTGTTGAAGATCCACAACGCTGGTCCCTGCCTCGTTCGGTCGCTCGGTCTCGCGTCGACTCCCGCCGTGGCTCGCGGAGCGACCCGGTTTAGCGCCGTTTCGCTGAATCGATCTGAGCGACCACCGATCCATGTCAGGAGTGAGCAACGATTGCCTCGTGACCGAGAAACAGGATGAAACCAAAACATCTTCGCTAAGCTGGAAAGCTTGCGAAAGCCTGAGCCTTCCAAACATGAGTTGGACGAAATCCATGTCCAAAGAGAATCACTTAAGGCTGGGACTTCCGATGTTGCCGCCAGTCCCAAACAAAGTGCACCTGAAATCCCAAAGGGGCCCTTTTTAGCCCCAGAACACCTGATCTCCCGCCTCAGTCGCTCCAGCGTCATCGGCGTTTTGCACCAACTCCTTGAACATACTGATATCTGCAGGATAGTCCTGGCAGATCTGCAAGACAAGTTTCTCAAGATTTCTCCAAAAATCTCTCCCTGGCAAGTCTGGACAAGTTGAAAGACATGTCAGAGTCTTTTCATGTCTTTTGCGTTTCCTTGAATCCTGAAAACAAGTTGGAACAGAATCCTCTCTCCTTCAGCAAGTTCTTGAGGCGAGTAGTGATAGGCCTTGGTGAGTTCACCAGTTGTGACATCTGAGCTGCGACCCAAACAAATGTTTCTGCAGCTCCTCGACGGTGCATAGACAACTGTATATACAGAATTTCAACCTTGACTAAGCACGGGAGTACACTAGCAGACCACATAGGACCCCCCAAACCAAAATGTAGGACTTTCGACTTGGCTTCCACACGGTCACAGTCACACTGAGGATTTCACTCACTTTGCCCAGCGGCCTCACACCAGTCCGCTCCATGCATTTCAGTCGCCTATCAATGGCAGCGGGGCTGATGTCATGAACAGATGAAAGATGGGCTGATGTCATTTGGCTTGTGGGTCAAAACCCAGAGCCCCAAACCAGGGTAAGGTTGACCTCCTTACTAGTCCATGCTGTTCATTTTCTGTGGTCGACCAAGGTATCCCTGACCCACTGCCATTTCTGTCTCAAACTGACGAACCTCCAACACACCTCCACAAGTCACAAGTCGGGTAGTTTGTCGACGCTTGCTTAATAAACACCCCATGTAAAGAGGTTGTTCAATTCAAGTGCGGGTGTTATTAATCAAGAGTCTACATGTTATTCTGAAAAAAGAAATGTCCAGTTGGTTAGATCCGTTCAGACTCGGTAGACGGCCTCGCTGGTATACACCATTGACAGGCCACGACCTGAACACATGTTTTCAAGCGCGTCTTCGGGTGCTTCGGGTGACTATACCACGACCTGCTCCGTTTTTTCTGTCCTCTGAGAAGTGGACAGCCACATGTGTGCGCCACAGCATGAGAGATTTTGGGGTGCACCAAGCCTCAGATGGGAAGATGGGACAGAACATGCCGTGAAGGCATGACGGCGTGTGACAAAACTAGTCGTTCAACTATGGCACTTGGTTCGACCAACGACGAAGACACTATGCTGTGCATTGAAGAGTGTCTGTGGACAAGACAATAGCTGCCCAGATTCAGATCTGCTGTCTCGACATCCGGCAACCTCATCTACTTTTTGAGAAATGTCCGGCAACAAGATTGGGGGTTGCTTTCAACTGGGCATCTTTTGGACTTACTGACTTGTTTCTGTCTAACAAGCCTGTTTTAAGGACTCCACCAAGTCATGTTGTTGAAAACGCAATCTCGCGCAGCTCGCAGGTGGCTTTCCTTGCTCATGAACATTGCCAAAGTCTTGGTTGCTGTACAGAAATCTTGTTCCAGTTGAGTTTTCCCTGTCTTCAGACCGACGGTGAAGCTTAGCCAAAAGCTGAAGTGGGCATCAGAATGTCCAATTTGCTGCCTGCGGCTGCCGTAGCTCCAGCAGTTTCAGCACGTTCCTCACGCCGCTCGCGCGTGAACGCGCCGCGAACACAAAATTGTTCGCGACTCGTGAAGACTGTCCTGCTGTAAGTAGTCTGTGATGGCCATCACCAAGCGGACAGCTATATCCAAGGATTGGGGATCAAGTTGACCTCACAAATTGCCCACTCATCTCATTGGCATGACCTGTGACCCTATGACGCAAACGACTCAGATCAATGAGCCAACACATGCACTCTTAGAAACTTGCAGCAGTAAGTTCCTTATTTCTCAAAGAATTGCTGTATATACCCGACATGTCTTTTACTCTGAGATTTGGCATCTGCCACTGCCCGCATTTGAGGCCATGGCTGCTCTGCTTCGCATCCGAAATACACTGCAAGGCCTCGACTCTAGTCGGAGCACTCATCCCAATCACATGTCGTGTGTCGAAACGTCCACGGCGCGCGTCACTTCAATCCCTCGGAGTCCAAACGCGCGGCTTCTGCCGTTGTCCGCTGTCCGCTTCGAAACGGCCGCCTCGCTACAATCCGCCACTCCGAAGGTCTCTTTAATCTTGGCCCAGAGATGAGGGACTTTCTCCTTCCACTCTGCTGGTGCCTCCCGAGACTTCGGACGGGGCTTCGGACAAATCCACCCAGACTCACATCGAAGGTTGCGGTCCCTTCGAACGTTTGATCAGCACAAGGACACCGGACACCTTCTCTGGCTCGTGCCTTTAACAAGTAAGGAGGGAAGTCAATGCTTTGTCGAGCAATTCTGGCCAACGGCAAGAAGCCGCCTTGGGGCACCTCGGTGTGTTCAAACGTCACAAGTTTAGCCTCTCACCATTGACTGCCGTAGACAGCGGACCCAAAGTTGCTTGCTCTTGTCCTTCTGAAACTCCTCTGCAAAACCAGCAGAAGCTCTTATATGGCTGGAATCTCGAATGACAGCAGATTTGAAAGCTTTGTTGCCTCCACTGAAGCTGCATGAAGCAGAGTAGGATACAAGTGGTCGTAGAGGCATCGGGTAATCCAGGAGGCATGTACCTCAAAACATTTGGAAATCCCATCCATTCCACCAACCGAAAATTGGTGTCTACTGTAATATTCACACATGTAGGCCAACCTCCCAGTTGAACTCTCAAGGAAGGATAAATACTTTGAGCCACCCGAAGTCTCCCTATGCCAAATACATGCCACAAATACACAGTCAACCTGTCAACCTGGAGCGCTCCGTCCACCCATGGCTTCGGGTGGCCTAGGCTCCCAGGCGTCACGCTTCGCATCCGTGAGGCTCCTGCTCCACTCCTTGGTGTGTGGCGACACCGGACGATCGCACGGAGGTCCAGCGGATCCACCGAGATCGGACGGCAGCGTGGCACTTGTTACTACTAGCTTCTTGTTACTACTAGTAAGGCAC